ACGTGTGCTTTAGACACTTCCAGAGGGTGCTGAGGGCCATGAAGAAAACATCACAGTGATGGAAAGGAATCTTGGGGAGGCAGTGATACTATCTCTAGAGGGCTAGGGAGGGCTCTTCGGAAGTATTTGAGAAATGGTGATCCATGGGGATCAGAGGGGAGGGAGGTTCAGGCAGAAGAAGAGCATGTGCAAAGGTCCTGGGGTAGGAGTGCGTCTAGGTGTCTGAGGGATGAGAGAAGGTCAGCTTGGCTGGACACCTCATCGAGGGCACAGAGAAGCCATGTACAGTCTATGGTTTAGGTAGGAAAGGAAGAGAATCGGACTTTGATTTTAAAAAGCTCGCTGGGCCGCAGTGTGGAATGGGTCACCAAGGACAGCAACCACAGGAGGGAGCACTTAGGAGAGGATCCAGCAAGGGGGGCACCGGAGGGGGTGCAGTGATGTGTGGACATAGGGTTCACTCGAGAGGGAGCAGTGCTGGGGCCGACCGGGTGGACGGAGGTGCAGAGACTGGAGTTTGGGACAGGACCAGCAGGTTTCCAGCACCCTCGTGAGTGTGGGGACACATAAGGTGGAGGGGGGGTTCTTGGGGAAGGAGAGGTAATGAGTTCACTTAGGGACAAGCTGTGTTTGAGGTGCCTGTGGAGACCCTGTGGAAAAGGCGAGCTAGAGGGGTCAGGCTGGACGTCAGCAGTGAGCACAGCTGAGGCCAGTTGCCCTGGCGTGGACCCAACCACCTAGGAGAGTGGGCAAGGAGAAGGGGCATGGGTCAGGACCTGTCAGAGCCCCACCTTTAGGGGAGCATGGGTGGCCAGAGGGGGTCGTGGCCATGGGGACTGAGGAGGCCATGCCAACGGTGGACGGGCTGCACCAAGGGCCAGCAGTCTGGCCGTGGCCGGGAGAGGCCAGTACGATAGAGATGAGCGTGTCCTTGGATTCAGCCAACCTGTGGAGGGCAGCCTGGGGGCAGCTGGGGAAGCCCGAGTCTCCGGGGAGGGAGTGAGTTCAAGGAATTTGCCTTTGAAGGGAAGGGAGAGTCAGCAGGTGGGGGATTCAGGGGACTTGGCAAACAGAACAGAGACATTGATATGGAAAAAGACCCAGTGGGGTCCAGGAGAGAAGCTGGGGAAGCCTACATTTAGGGCCAAGAAGGGCAGGCAGGGAAGGTTCCAGAAGCAGTCCAAGAGTCAGGAGGAGGACCAGAGACGTGTAGTCCCCAAGGTCAAGGACGGAGAAGGTGGAGTCTGAGGAATGAATGCAGATCTGCTCAGGGCTCAGGGACAGGTCTGTCTGAGGTGGACTGACCAGCACAGGCCAAGGGGCTGAGGCACCACGGAAGCAGGGGAGCAGCTCGGGGCAAGACAGGCTCCAGGGGGCTCCCCCAGGAGTGAGAGGGGAGCAGGTTCATGACAAAGGAGAGGGTGTGAGCCTGAGGGAGGGAGGACTGGCCTGGAGCAAGGTCCGGACAGGGAGGTGGCCGGAGCAGGGACTCAGGAAGACAGGCCGAGGGGTGAAGGCCTGCCGCATTTGCAGTGGGAGGCTGGGGGCTGGAGACATCCGGAGGCAGAGAGGGGGCTGGAGACATCCGGAGGCAGAGGAGGGGCTGAGGCAGCCCTGAGGCAGGCCGAGGATGAAGGCCGGGATATTCTCCCCTGGCAGGGAGCCCCGCCCCACAGCCAGGAAGGGAAGGACTTGGGCCACAACCTGGTCACTGGGCTGCACCAGGAGCCACACATGATGCAAGGTTACACTCTCCTTGGGAGGGCTCCCACCCCGTCCCTCTCTCTCCTCCCTTTCAGCCTGGTCAAACCCTCCTACCCTCAAGGCCAGATTCTCCATCACCTCCTCTGTGAAGACATCACAGCCCTGCCCACTGAGTGGCCCACAGCACAGCAGAGGTCACACTGTCCAGGGAGTTCCTGACCTGCCTGAGCCACAAGGGCCCAAGGATGGGACCTACCCAGCAAAGAGTAGGAACCCAACCACATGGATGGGGAGAGTGGAGGGAGGAAAGCCACAGGCTGGGGGTGGAGGGAGGCCAGGAAAGGACCCTGTAGGCAGCAGAGGCTCTTTCTACCACTTTTGGGGGCCACCATGGCCCTCAGTAGGGCCTGGACGCTATACTACACACTGAATCAGGGGCCCTGGTAGGAGAGGCTGCTCTTTCGTGAAAGGGAAGGGGTGGTGCGCAGGCTCCGAGGAGGCCTCATGGAGAGGCCTCTAGGCTATGGAGGTCAAGAGGGCTGTGGGCAGCTAGGACTACCAGCCAGGTGGCCATCCTCAGCCACAGGAAGAAGTTAAGTGGAGCCTCATTCTGGCCCTTGGGAGGAACTGAGGTTTTAAATGCAGTATGTTTATTGCCAAGGTTTTCAGTATACACTATTCTCCAGGAGGCTGAGCGGCCACGCGGCAGGGTCTGCATGGGGAGCAGATGTAGTGGGGATGCAGTGAACCCGAGCAAGGGATTTCTGAAGTGGGGCTCAGCCTGGCAGGGCACCCGCCACAGAAGTGCCTGGGAACCACGGGCCATCGGGGCACAGGGATGGCCTGGCCACACCCTGCTGGCTGCTCACACTTCGGAGGGACAGGCAGCCTCTGACTCCAGCCAGGGGCTCTGGCCTCCTCCCTGGTCCCCCAGGGCTGTTCTCCAGAAAGACACGGGTTCTGGTCAAGGAGAACTCAGGACGAGCCTCAGCTAGAGAGGCACCCTTCTTTTCCACTCCCAGCAAGCCCTGGCTGCTCCCTGGGACCGGCTGTGTAGCCTTCCACACGTTACTCGGCCTTGCTGGGGCAGTTCCTCACAGTGTGAGGGGGAAACTCGCAGCCCCCAGGGCTGGTGTGAGGCTGGCAGAGAAGCAGGCAGAGGGTCAGCTGGCCGGACTCTGGGACACTCCTACGGGATCGTTATGGGATTGCCATTGCTAGGGACTTTGGGAAGCTTATTATAAAGCCATCACCAGCCTCAGGAAAACCTGGGATGGACTTTGGTCTCCATTCAGTCATTCATTCTTTATCCAACACACAACGAGTATCCCCCTTCCACATCTTCCCCAACCCATCCCCAGCCAGAAGCCTCTTTGCTGGGGCTCGAAGCAACTGCCGGGTCGTGGGGATCATAGCTCCAGGGTCTCTCAACCCCTCCATTCTGTGCCATGGCCCTCCCTGGGGGTCAGACCCTCTCAGCTTCGGTGGCCCCACACCCTGATTTCTCAGTCCTTCTCCCGACCAGAGCACTGATAGGGTCAGACATTTGACGGGTGCCCACTGCTCAGCACACAGGCCCCAGCCCACGCCTGGCCCTCAGAGTCCTAGAGCCATTCTTCTGCCCAATGGTCTCCCACCAGCATCCTCCTCCCATATCTCACATCACCCCCTACTCTCATCTGCCTTCATGCTCCTTAAGGGCAGGCAGGCACACAACAAGGACCAATGCAATTCACAGTGAGCACTCCCATGGGGCCAGGACTGCCCCAGGGCCTGGCACCCCATTATGGCTAACATAGTCCTGCCCTTGTGGAGCTTCTGGTCCTGCACCACCAGCAAACAAACATCAGGTGAAGGGCAGATGTAAGGCATGTTGGACAGGTGGCCAGGAATGGCTCTTCTGAGGTGACATGAGCCCTGAGTGGGATGAGGATGCAGACCCTGAAGGAAGGTGGGGGTTGCTGGACAGTAGGCTGAGGCACGAGAAGGCCCAGAGGGCTTGAGGTAGCCAGGGGATCCGTGTGAATGCAGTGTGGGAAGGGAGCAAGGGTGGCACCAGGGAGGTGGCTACGGTGGCCGCCCAGGTGTGATCAGGGACCTGGGCCGGGGAGAAGCAGGGAAGTGGGTCCAAGTCAGAGCATCTGAAGGCAGCAACACCAGGACCAGGTAGGGGTGGGGTGGGGATGAGGGGGTGGGAAAGGAGCCAAGGAAGTGTCCTGGGACTGTGGCCTTTCTAAACTGGGGGAAGGTGGTGCCATGAACTGAGAAGGGGTAGGAGTGGGGAGGGGAAATCATTACATGTTTGTCAATGCCAACAATTTATCGAATTAACAAAATGCTAGATAGACCACCCCTCCCGAGCTTCCTCGAGTCCTCCACACCCAGGCTGGTGAGAGAAGGTGGTGGTGAGACGCTCGTCAAAGCCACCGAGAATAGCAGCTTCTGAAACAGCTGATTTTATACCTCAGGTTGTAGAGTCCCTGGGTGTTGGCCAGCACGAGGAAACGGGAGCCATGCACCCCCATTCCTGCGACAGAGGCATCAAAGCTGGTGTTTGGACTGGGTGTCCGTGACCCCTCTGGGGTCCAAGCCACACCTGGTCTGAGACCCACCAGCTCCAAACTGCCGGGAGCAGCTCAGAGAACGTGGACTCGAGCACCAGCCACCTGTTTGTGAGAACATGCGGACAGGCACACCATCCCACTTGCCTGCTCCGGCATGCTCTCTGCACCCAGGCAGAGCCAAGCCTGGCTGCCTGAGGCAGAAAGGGCCAAGAAGCCTGGACCCCCAGCCCCCAGGGTCGTGTCCATACAGGAGGGAGGCCAAGGCCAAGAGAGGCCACTCTTCTGGTTCCCCACCAGGCCCCGACAGGGAATGGAGGCCACAGACCGGGGCTGTGGTCCTCACCTCACTCCAGCCCTCACCCACCAGAGAGCCGCCACTGTCCAGGCCCTCCCCAAGGCACAGTCCACCCACCCCCAAGAGCATGACCTCGATCTCCCAGGAAGCGTCTCTCTTGTCCAGCCGGCCTGATCCTACAGCCCCAACCCCCAAACCCACAGGAGGGGGAGCATGCAAGGCCTCTCTGCAGCTTATGAGGCTTCCCCTCTGACCCACACTGCAGCCCAGGCCACCAGCCAAGGGAGATCAAGCCAGGCTAGGCCCAGCTCTGACCATCCAGGCAGAGCAGCACTGAACAGGGCTCCATGAGTTTGATTTCTCTCTGGAGCATGCCAGCCCAGGCCTCCCCACCCCCCAGAACATTCCCGAGGACACCAGCTGGAGCTGACACTCACCACCAGCTGGGGCACGGGCAGCGGCTTGCCCTCCTGGCTCAGGGACACGAAGGTGAAGAAGGCACTGGCAGCCCGGTACCGCTGCTGCTGGGAGTTGTCCACCACGGGGTCGGCATCCACCAGGACCTCAATCTCCATCGACTTGTTGCTCGTGAAGGTCATGCGCCCGCAAATGGTGATGACACACCCTGCAGAGCATGGGGGACAGCGAAGGTCACAGAGGCACCACGCTCAACAACAGGACCCCTGAGGGGGTGGGTGGGGTGGGGGCTGGGCCAGGAAGTCAGTGTTGTTAAGTACAAAGAAAGATGCTTGGTTAGGCAGCAGATAATTTTAATAACTACCAGGAAATTGAGATGGTAAAATATTAGAATGCTTCATTAGTAGCCTACAAACTTTTATCTTTCTAGCGAGCAGGTGTTGGTTTTTATCATCTCCATCGAGAGTTGGAAGGGACCCTGGTAGCCATCACATCTAGCCTCCCACCCCAGCAGGGGTCCTCCTACCTGCCCCCGCCACCCCAGGAGTGGCAGCATCTGCTTGAATGCTTCCAGAGTCACCCCTGCCCGCCATGGGCCAAGCCCCCAATCTGCTTTTGAGTAGCTCTAGGTGTGACATGGCTCTGTCCTCGCTGAGGTTAAGGCCAAAGCTGCGGTCTGCACTGTCCACCCTTTGGCCTTACTGTGCCTTCTGGAAGTACAAGCTGCACCACCAAGAGCTGAGGGCAGCCACCACGTTGCCCTGAACATCACTAAAGAAGCTTCTTCCTCCTTCTTTGGCTTGCCTCCCAGCTTCTGCGGCATCGACACCCCTGATGCTGGCGTGACAGCTGCAAGCCAGGCCGTTATGTTGTCTGTGGTCATTCGTCCACCTCCAGCCCTGTCTGCACTTCCACCTACAAAGACCCTGGGAGCCACAGCGGCAGCCCCTCCTCCACTTTCCTTCCAGGTGGATCAGACAGGACTGTCCTGTCAGGATTTCATTCCTGTTGACCTTGAGGTCATCTCCCTGGTAGTCTTGCCCATGGATCAGAGCTCCCCTTCTCTGGGCTGCTTGACAGTTGCCCTCCCAAGTCTCACTCAGGGCCCTTTCCCTGGGAGACCCCCTTGACCAATATGGTCAGAGTGTTCCAAGATGCTTACCACTTCCCCGTACCAGCACGGTTTTCGCTGATGATCATGATGATGTCCTTAATGCTGTCCCTAACCCCAACGCTCTGCACACATGCCTTTGGGTCATGAATGTCCATCCTGACCGTAGCTGCTTGACCTCGAGCTTCTCTTCCACCCCAGCCCACCCACGCATTTGTGGGCTCCCTCCCACCACCTGGCCCTAGACCCCCTTCTCTGACATAATCCCTCAGTCTCACTGAGCTCAGCTTTTCCACCTGTAACCGAGGACAAGAGAACCTATCTCTCAGGGTAACTTCAGGGATTCAATGAAATATGCTAAGCTGGGTGTCTGGCAGGAGTGGGGAGGAGCACTCAGCACATAGTCATTATGATTACAGATGATGCTGTTGTTGACTAGAAGCAGCACCCACCCATGGGGGTTTGCAGATGAAGGACTGCTGCTGCCACCTCCCAGTAACAACGTGGAGCTCAAGAAACTCTCTCCCCGAGTCTGGCTGCTCCCGAAGGCGGTGCTGACTGAGAGGACCTTTTGACATAACCCCCTGGCGATCCCGGTACTCAGCTCCGTCCAGACAAGACATGTGCAGAGACCCAGAAAGAGGCAAGTGGAGGGTAGCGCCATGAATGTTAGGGGTAGGGGTGAGTGTGCGGACAAGCCAAAGATCAGAGTGGTTATTCCATGTTATAAAGTTCCGGAATGTTCCATATCACATTCAACCTCATACTTACAGGGGGAGCTTCATGCTGCGTATGGCCATTTCTGGGTGGGAAGGAAGGAGCTGTGTGGTCAGCGGCAAATGGCTCTATGTGAGCTGCAAGGGACATGAGAGTCATGTCCAAGCATCTAGCCACGTCACCAAACACTACAGCCTGGGAAAAGGGCGGGCCATGAGGCCCCGCCTCCCAGCTAACAAGGGTCATGGGAGGGTCTCCATGGCATCTCAGCCTCCTTCCCACTCTGGCCCAACCCCAAAGGCCCAGCTGACACCCCTCTCACCGATGACCATATATAAGACTCAGGGGGCCACAAACCAAGAAGCAGACACAAGCCCTTCCCACAAGAGGAAATAGCAAAGACTTTCCAAAGGGCCAAGATGCCTGTTCCAGTGAGTGCAAATTCCAGGGGTCTCTGAACATGGGCCATTTCTTTGGAGAATGATAGGAAAATATGCCCTTTATTGTCTCCAGGAGCCTCTGAGTGGTGCAAATGGTTAAAGCACTCAGCTGCTCATTGAAAAGTTTGAGGTTTGACAACCCAGAGGTGCCTCAGAAGAAAGGCCTGGAGATCTACTTCCAAAAAATCAGCCATTGAAAACTCTATGGAGCACAGTTCTACTCTGACACACTTGGGGTCACCATGAGTTGGAGTCGGCTCACAGCAACTGGTTTACTGGTTATCTCCCACGGAAATATTCCTTCTCCACCTAGGTAACAATCACAGCTGATTACAGTTTAATTTCTGTGCTAAAAATCTGAATAAACTTCTAACTTTAATCGAAAATGGCTTCACACAGTTAAGTTGGCTGATTCTTTGAGCATCAGACAAAACAACAAAAAGAAGAGGGCTGGCTTGGAGGGTGACCACTGGCAGAGAGTTCAATCAAGACTTCATCACAGCAGGGAGCAGTTTCAATTACAACCAGAACCTGAACTTTTTCACCTTTCAGGGAGAGCAACAGCATTATTCTAAACAAGCCTCTGTTTTAATCCTGGAGAGCATGCTGCAGTGACATACTGCAAAGGACATATTGGTTAACTGGGTTACTGATCAGCTGAAAGCGTAACGAGAGAAATGGAAGCAGGTGAGGTTTGGGTGGTTGAAAAGACCATCATTAGGTATCAGGAGAGAACACGTGTCCAAAGGTTCTAAGTGGCTGAGAGTGCACGTGGGCCCCTGCTGAGGGCGTCCTCTCTCCCAGACCCCCTCAGGAGGCGCCCCCTCCAACGCAGACCCAGAGTCCCCAGGTAGCAAACCCATCCCAGTTGCGTTTGTGTGTTTGGCTCTGTCCAGGTGTCCAGGAGGGACACGCAGCACAGCCCCTCAGAGCAGGTCTCTCACCTTGAGGGCCCTGCTCTGGCCTTTCCGGGTAGCTCCAGCCTTAGCCAGTACCTGTCAGCTCCAAGGTGAGAGGAAAGCTCATCCCAAACCCTTCACCGCCATCTCTGCCAGTCTCATCAGCCACTGTACCACCACCGCCTCCTCAGGACCCAAGAAGGAGCAGCCTGTTCATTATCTAGGTGTAAGGGTGGCTGGATTACCAGGGATGGGTCTCAGTTTATGGGGATACACGCCTCAGCCTCTACAGGCCTCTTCCTAGCCTGGTCCACCAGAAGCTCCCAGCCCCACAGCCTCCCTTCTGTCCCTGAAGTGCCCCTCCCACCCCTGGCCTGTCCTGCTGCACCCTCTGTGCCCCGAGGGTCTCATCTCCAGCGTCCCCCCAGGGGAGGTGCCAGGGAGGTTTCTTCACCATTCTTTCCAGAATGGGGTTCCTCGCCTTCAGAGCACTCGGCTCCATGTGCATCGCACCCTCCCCAGCCGGCCCTCTGCTGTGGTTTCTGCCCAGCCCAGACACCCTGGGAGCAGGACAAGCCTGCTCTGGCCCACGACTGCCCCAAGCAGACCCCCAACGCCATGCTGAGCCAGTGAGGGAATGGATGTGTCTTCAACTGCATGTGGCCCCACCGGGGCTCAGGGGGATGTGTTCCATGACTTGTGCTGGATGGGGACCCGGCTACATACTGACAGGAGCTGCAGCCTCAGCAATGTGGCTTGTGCATTCTGGACAGCCAGCAAAGTCCTCGGAGGTGAGCACCCCAAGACCCCTCTCCACCTCTGGGTGGATACTACACAAACTGGCATCTAGGGTGTGCATGGGTGTTAGCTGTGGCTGCCTGCAAATGGGCACGGGGGTCACTGTCTCCAGGACATTGCTGGAGCAGCGAGGCTGTGTATGCGAAGCACTCGGCCCAGGGCTGGATGCAGCATCAGGGTCAGGAGGCACCAAGCTTCAGAGAACACAGTGGGTGGAGGGGGTTCCGAGACGACAGCTCAGAATGACTCCTCATCGACGGCTCTGCAGGCCTCACTGGCGTTGTTGGGGTAACTCCCTCTGTATTTTTTAAGGAGACACCATTCACCCATGTGGTTCCACCCTTGCTCTGCTGCCATGTCAATGTCACTTCCTCGCATTAACTGTGTCACATGGACATAAATCCAAGACAGTAGGTTCTGGGTGGGGTCTGAGTGCCTCTCTGACTAAGAGTCCCTCCAGGGAAAAGCCACCTCAAACCCAAGGGGAGAGTATGCGGCGGAGAGCTCTGACAGCCTCTTGGGGGAGGTGCAGGTTGGGACACTGGCAGGGGTAAAAAGCATTACACCAATAACGTAATAAGAAGTGACATTTAAAACAAATCACTCTCTACATTTTCCTTTTTCTGCAGCAGACACATTTATACCAGGCACAAAGCTACTTAACGAATAAAATGGGCTATTGCACTGGTAATGGAGCTTTAAGCTTTTCAGTTCACGAAGAACTCAGGGTAACAAAACCTTCAAAACACCCTCACGCTTTCTCCCTGGGACCCAGGGTATTCACAGTTGTACCAGGCTGGATCTGGTACAAGATTCTACCGTTGACCTTCCTGGGGAAGGCCTCGAGCTGGGTCTTAAACTTAGCATCTCTACTGATGAGCCTGGTCCCAACAGGTGGGGGCTGCCCGGCTGTGCTCTTGGGGTCCCAGAGGGCCCTCATGCACAAGATAGCCTCCAGACTCAAGTTTCGGTGCAGACCACTAGACACAAGGCTGGGATAAGCCAGAAGGCTTCCGGCCTCTCTACTCTTTCTGCTAATTCTCCCCAAACTCAGACTCTCACCTCAGAGGCGCCTGCTGTCCACAGTGGGGGAAGCTGGGACAGAGCAAACCCTCATGCTGCCCTCAAACACCGAGGCCTAAGGAGCCCCTCCCCACCCTCCTGGGGTCCCTGCCAGCATTCTGCCCATGGAGATTTTGGGGAAGACACGGGGTGGGAAGCAGAGCTGACAGATGAGTGGAGC